CCCCTTGACAACTAATCTCAATCTTCTCTTTAGTAAAACTATTCCTCCGTCCTATCACTATCAGACTACATAAAAAGTTTTGGAGGCCCCAAACTAGGATGCAGAACTCCAGATGGGGCCTTACAAGGCAGAGTAGACAGGGACAATCACCTCCTTCACCATGCTGGCCACTCTTTTACGCAGCCCAGGATATAGCTGCCCTTTTGGGCTGTGAGCATACACTGACTGTTCATGTACAGCTTTTCATCCACCATGACTCCTAAGTCTTTCTCCCCAGCACCACTCTCAAGTTCTACTCCCAGCCTGTACACATATCTGGGACTGCTCTGATGCTAGCACAGCATGCTGTACTTGGCCTTGTTCAACATGGGCCCACTTCAGAAGGGAGACTTTCTCCATCCTTAAATTTCATAATCTGGTTTAATGGCATGAGCAGTCCTGCTGAGCGTGCACTTTGTCAATGACACAGATGGTGAGATCACAGTGCTGAAGAGCACAAGTGTCAAGTCAGACTGCTGGAGGGCACCACTCATCACTGGCATTCCCCCTGACATAGAGCCATTGACAACAAGCCTCTGGCTATGACCATCCAACCAATTATTTATCCAATAGTCAGCCTTCCAATCCCTATTTTCCTGATTTAGTGGTAAGGATGTCATGCATGGTCATGTCAAAGGCTTCAGACAAGTACATTTAGACAGAAATTTTTAAGAGATCCTTCAAACATGATACTTTGTATGCTGAAAAGAATGTAATACACTCCTTGAAAACTGCTACTTTTTGTAGCCTTGAACATAAGCTAATACTTATGCACTGTAAGAATGCTGGTTTCCAATTCTGCTCTAAAACTGAAAATGGAAAGATTTACTACAAAAATAATACTGAAACAGATACATTCTCTAAAGCAGAATTTTAATTCCACAGCCACGTAGAAAGTCTACATAAGTCTTTGATCACAACATACCTGGATATAAAACAGTATTTGTTACTTCGTGTTTAGGGATTCCAATGTGTCACTGCTACTGCAACATTTTTAAAAGATTCTTCAAAAAAGCATTCCTCTAGCTGTTTAAGTTTCAAAGTACTTGAAATTACACATAAATTTGGTTTTAGTACTCTGCACAAAGCTGCTCTCTTTTTTCCTTTCTCATTAGGAAGCAATACTTTCAGATGTACAGGCTACCACTAAAGATGTATTCTTTTTATTATCCATCAGAACTATTGCAGCCCCCTTTACTGAAAGCCTTATAATGAAATCTTGTAACACTTTGAATTTTGAAGAAATAACTCCAAAGTATCTCTAATACTAATATACTTAACTGTTATGAAATTTCAATAGCTGAAGACATGAGAGTTCTGCTCCAAAAGAGCTGTTCTTAGATCTAACAAACAAAGATGTTCCTCCCAGCAGGCAGCACTGATTACTCCAATTGTCTTCCTCTTCACCAACTTAACTCTTTCATGTCTCAAGATGAGTATTCCTAATTGAGTATTAGCACTATCTGTAATAAAATCAAAAGTCCACTACTGAGAGGGTACTGAAGCTTCTAAGAAGTCTGACTGAAAATGAGACTAGCAATTTTCCCTCATTCCTCCAGTTCAACCTTGAAGGGCCATGAAACATGAGTTGCCTTCACCCAGGATTTGCATACTGTCTGCAACACTGACCTTACTTTCGTAAACAGAGTAAAAGCAAACAAAATACCTGCAAAACCAATCAACACCATGGGAAACCCAAAATTGGGAAAACAAACTTTGGTTAATTTTGCACAGGTATTTTGTGTATGTCAACTGAATGACAAAAGTACTGAAAAGCTGGAACACAGAGCACATAACTTGTGTAAGCTTTCAGTCTTTGAAAGCTGAGATCAAAACACTTAGATCTGAACCACAACTAAAACAGGTTTGGTGACTGAAGAATTAAGGTCATGTAAGATTTTTTACTAGTGACTTTTATGAAAAGAATATCAGCACCTTTATCTTATCACATTTTTTCATAACTTCACATGTCTAACATACCAAAATTTCGCTACCAAGATTCAAACCCACATGGAATCCTCAAGTCATTTACAAACTTGTTAATCATTGGAACTGCTAAAATCAAATACACCTTTTATTTTTCTTTCACTTAACATTATTTACAGTTCATCATTTTTCCGTGTGCCTGTTTGAGGCCATAACAAAGGCTTCTTTGTGACTCAAAATAGATCCAGAATTGAAAGCCACTAGCAACAAATGTAATGCCTAACTCATTTGACAAAGAAGTGGCATTCTGCTTTCCATGAGACTGGAATTTGAATTTACTGCAGGTCTAAAGACTAACTGTATTGACATTAATCAAACAGCAGCAGACCAGCAGAGTGAAACAACTGCTGAAGAGACCCTAAAACATAAGCATGGAAGGACAAGGGACTATTTCAGACCAGACCTCCTCAGATTATGAAGACTGAGATCCCATCATCAGTTGTGCATCTTACTATTCTGTTCCTTTTTAAAGGAGTAAAGTTCAAAACCTAAGATGTAATGGGCAGATTTGCTTCAGAAATGCATTTCTGATCTAAGCTAAAAAGTTAATGCAGATATATCCAAATAAAATTGGTAATTATGTCCTTGATAATTTTATTTTTTTAATTAAACATATGAGCATATCTGGAACTTCATACAGATTTCTTAAGCGAACAGAATGTATTTTAGGAAATTTAAATATTTAAAAACATGAGGTCAAGGACAGTAGAAAGTGAAAGCATGTTTTATATATTTAAAATAGCTTTTCTGCTAACAAAGTCCTTGGGTATGTACTGAGGTTACTCCAGCACTCTTCAAATCAGTTATTTTATCAATAATACACTGAAGAACATAGAGTGCAATTTTCCAAAAGGTTATAAATAAATATGAGGCTTTTCCATAAAAAACAAAAATCACTTGCAGATATCATTTTAATGACAGTAGTTTTTTAATTTAAATTCTATTATTATATATCATTAAAATTCCAAGCAGGCTGATTTGGTCTGCATGAAAATGGATGGAGGACAAGGCCTTTCATCGCAATTAAGAGTGTTCCTTTCAAGGGCAATGTCACAGAAGGTGAACACTAATTTTGCTAATACGGTAAAGGAGGATAAATGACTGCGAGAAGAAAGGAGAGCAAAAACAAACTACATGGCAATTGTTTTTCTGTGAAGTTCTCCGTCATATTTAACTTTCATTTCCTAAACAGGTTATTACAGGGACAGCAATTTGCATTAAAAGATTAACAACTGCATGAAATGTCGAAGACTACTTTGCAGCTATAAGACGACAGGAGAAACAGACCTTGCAGATGTCAAATGAATTTTAAGGATGAGATCAAAGATACTCCAACATTAATATGATGTGGAAAATAATCCCAACTAGCTGTCAGAGTACACATGCCATTTCTGAAATTAACTTATAATGTCTGCACTTTAAGTTACCTATTCATACAGACTATTTCTACTTGCATTTATACCTCAAAGGGCATGGGGTAAATTATAGTAACTGATATCTGGAAATGTATTTGGGATCATATTTCCTTAGCAGTGTATGTAATAGAAAACTATACATGAATAAACTTGAAAAAATGTCAGGAATACAGAAGCTCCCTGCCTTCAAATTCAGCAACAGTCAATTAAGAAACAGTATTTTTCAGGCCTGCTTACCCTTAATAAAATAAATAAGAAACAATTATTTTGTTATTTAGTACGTAGCAACATAACATACGATTATTTTACATTTGCAAAAACAGAGCAGCTCTCACAGTATGTACATTGCAGAAACACAGAAAAAACAGTTTTGTAACAGTAATTATAAACAAAGATTTCATTTAGAGTTTTGCAGCCTTTTATTTTTAGCTTAAAGAGTTTATATAAGAAATATACTTACCTGCACATCAAAAATGAAGTCATAAGCTTTCTCAGATCCATCAATGAATTTAAGCAATATTTTACATTCAACAGTCTTCATTTTGTAATCACCATGACATTTATTAAAAACATGTACTTAACAATTGCCATACTTCAAATTTGGAAGTATACATAATAAGTAAGCATAGAAAATCACAAAAACCACATTAATTTTGAGAAAATGAATATGCTTTCATTTCTTAGGATTATTAAAGGTAAAGAATGGGGAGTTTGTATTAGGAAACTGAAAGAGAAATTGTTACACTTGAACTTTTGTAACACAGAATGTGATATGCATTCTTCAGACTGGTCTGAGTTTTTTTTGTTTTTTTTTTTTTTTTAAATCAGGTGCAAAAGGTCTTCTCATAGTTCAAGATTCCTGTTAAAAACAGTTCACATATGCATGAAGTATCAATTGAGCAGATATTAAATTAACAACTCTGGGGAAATGGCACAGACACACTCTTTTAGGCTTCCTAAACAGTTGTATAGTTTAATAGTTCTGTCCCTTATCATTCCTCTCACAGAAGTCATTATACTATGATACTGATTAATAAGCTAATTTTGAATTTCAAATTTGCAATTATGCTATCAGGGTAATACTTGTTTCCACGCCTGTATCAATACCTTATATGAAACAGAGGGAAAACCATGAGGTAACACAAGTTCTCCAAACTCTGCTACAATTCTACCACTTAAAAGAACACTGTTTACATTATTTTATTCAAGAAAAATTCCTTATTGCAACTTTATGGGAATTACTTGCCCAGCAGTAAAATTCTAAAAGGAAATGCAAAGCAGAGAAAGGAAAAGTACAAGGATATATTTTAAGAATGCTGATATATTTTAATGAATGCTGATATTCAATGTAGTAAAGATTTATTTTAAGTATGGAGTGTTATTTTATAGCAATGCAATACGTGGAGCACAGAAGGCTGAAAAAATCTCAGAAAAGAAAGTCACAGACCAATAAGCAAGAATGAAAAAAATCTTTCAAGCTGCATAGGAATTTGTTTTAGGTAACAGTATAAACCCTTCCTAGTCTTTTCAGTTAAAGAGTTCTTGAAATGCATGCATTACCTTCACAACAGGATTCAGCAGAACAACACCGGATTTCTTTGTAATAACTTGCTTTGTTGTATAATGATGTTCTATGAGCTGAGGAATAGTTGGAAATCCAGTTCCTTCAAAACGATATTGATTCTGTATGGAGGTAAAAGAAAATAATTGTTTCTCTGAAAGCAAAAATTGCAAAAAAGCTTTTCAAAGCTTCCTTAAACAGTAACAAAACAACAAAACGTTCACATTCACAAAGTTATATTTTTTGTCCGTATCTATTTAATAGCATTTCCACTATCATGAATTACACAGAATGATAAGACAACACATTAATAAATGCAAAACTACCAAATCACTCATTTGCAGTAAAAGAACAAAATAACTATTTATTCGAACTCTGAAGTTTACAGAAAAGGGCAGCACTTGCATTTCCAGAGATGGGACTGTTTGAGGTACTTAACTATGACAGAGTGAAATATTATAAGCATGAAACACCACCAAATTCCTAAGCACCTAAAACTGTATAATATATATTTATAAATAACAGAAAATGGACTAAAACAAACATCTGAAAATAAAGTAGACAAGATATAAATAACTTTTTTTTTTTTTTTTTAACTCATCTTACAGCATTTACCATGTTTGATTCAACTAGTAGACTCTAGCATAAAGTTCAGGACCGAGGATCATGCTTTAATAATTATTTTTATCAGAGGAGACTAGAGTAGTACGGATGTTAAAAACAAAGGCAAGACACGCATATAATCAACAGAGAACATTTGGCCAAGACAAAATTCCTTCTGCTCAACTCCTCTATTTTTGTCACTTTATTTTAGCTACACGATCTACAAAACAGGAACAATTAAATCTCTTAACATATTAGAGATATGTAACATTGTCTTAGCAAATATAGCATTCTTTAAAACACTATGAGGAAAAAAGTAGTATTTAATATCTTATCTTTGACCTTACATTTGACAGTAAGGAAAGTGTAAATAAGTGTTTATTTCATCCCTCGTGTCTTAAACTGTACATTATAGCTAAGTGTAAAAATAGATACTGGCTCAGTGAGCAAGTACACCAATTCCGGCTCCTTTCAAATAACCCCATTTTTATTTCTGTTCTGATCATCTAAAAAACTTGGTGTTCTAAGAACTGGCTTAGCATAAGAATCAATACCTCTTTTATTCCCTCATTGCAGCCCCAGTCTTACACGTATCTGCTGTCATCTACGTAAAATCTTCAGGGCAAAGATTGCTGTTTTATTCTCTGTATTTTCACAGGATCCTGACCATTAGGATCACTATCAAAGACTTTAAGAACAGCACAGCCTCAAAACAGAAGAAATGGGGAAAAAAAAGCAGCCTTGAATGACTAAGATATGTCAGCACTGAATTTTGATGCTTAAAATTAAATGATTGAACTCTTCTCGCATACGCTTTTTTTTTTTTTTTTTTTTTAAAGATTTAGACTTAAAACAAGATAAAATGAGTTACGTAAAGAATATATATCCTGCATATATCCTAGTGCATTCTGCAGTCCCTGATTCAGAAAAATAACTGAATGAAAACCAAAACCCCCAGTGACCTGACCAGTCAGAAAACTGATTCCCCTTTGTTTGTACCAACGTATACAAAACTTTTAAAGTCTTGAATTAAACTCTGACAACATGCCTACCAAAATGTCTAGGAGTCCATTTCCTCTTGTAGTATGACTAACAGTCCCACTAGTTCTAACTTCTTTTAAAGGCTAAAAAGCTTTACTCTCATTTTAAAATTAAAGCCTTTTTTCCACAATTAATACAGAAAATTCATCCTGTAAGAGTGCTTAAGGAGTTCTGCATTTCTTCAGAAGAAGTTTTAGTTTTCATGATTGTCAACAAAATCTTCCCTAAATGCACTCCAAGACTAGATTAATGCAATACCTTGTTAATAAATGTATAAGCAGAATAATCTAGTGACATCTAATGATGATGTTTGGACTGTGACAAGCTATGCAACATTAAATAGTGTTACATTTCGAATATGATTCCTAAGAGGAAGTAATAAAATTTGGAAATTGGAATTGGAGAAAACTGAAAAAAAAAAAAAAAAGACAGCTTTATTTAATTTTTCAGCTTATAGATAAGCATGGCCTCAAAGTAATAATTAGTGAAAAAACTTCTCTGCTCTGACTTTAGAGCCTAGTCTATAGTGATGTGCACAAAATGATTTCAGTCACACCAAGTATATTACATATATTTAATTCTGCTGGGTCAGGGTCAGAGTGCACCAAGCCTCTTTAAAGACTCTGTGTGTCTAGCTTTAAGTAATTTTATTGCTCTTATTTTCACAACTAGCACTCCGGTATTCCAAAATATTATTAAAAAAATTGAATTATAAAACTGGCTTTGTGTCAAGTCCCACTTTTACGAGAAAATCCCAGATGAAGATTAATAAAAAAATCCAGCTGGATAAGTGTCCATAATCACCAATAGTACAAAACACCTAAAATTTTCATAGAGCTTTAAAAATACCGCAGCCCCTCATTAAAAAGAAATAAACCAGCACACAATACATTATCTTCCAGATAGAGAATTTAGACATGGAAATATTCATAGTGTAAACTTAGTTCTGAGACCAAACATGAGCATTCTTCTATGAAGTTTGACAGAATTTTTGGAGACCTCATAACGAAAGACGGAAATATTTTCTGTCATCACCACTGAACCAAAACAAAGAATGATACTATAATAGAAGACACAGAAGAATTTGTTATAGGAAAATAGATATCTATCTATATCTAAAATAGATAAGAACTGCTGCACTTTGAATTAACTTGGAATTCTGAAAGGTAATTAGAAAAATACTTCAATAAACAAGTAATGGGTGAAGAATACAAAAAATACATCAGGTAAAGGCATATGAATATTGATATACTTTCTAGAATGGCAGCCTTAATCTAAGTTACTAAGTCCTATTTGCTGCATAGTACTTGAAATCTTTTGAGCTCTACTGAACAAAACAGCATTCACAGGGCTAAAAAGAATTAAAGTATCTCAGAGAAGCAGGGATTTAAACTCTCAATTGCACAGGAAACAGCACATATTATTTGAATTTTTGAGTCAGATTCAAGGGAATCATTAGTCTGAATTAAAAGTAACCTGTTAGTACAAAAATTGGTTTATAGATAAATGTACATGCAGAAATGAGTACTAACAAGTTCAGGATCTCATAACATTTACAGAAATATTTTTACTTTTCAATATATGGTAAAATAATATTTTTCCTTTATTCCCCAGAATGACCTTTTCCCCTGGTTTGAATACTAACTGAAATATTTGTAACAGATTTCATTTAAAGATTAAAGCCATGTGTAATATGACATTACATAGATACTAAATCATTTAGTACTAGATATCCTAATATTGAATATTTCATACTATAGCAGAGACGTACATCAGCATATTGTATGATAAAGTGTCTCCGTTGTCCATCTGAAAACACAGAAAGGACATATTCACCAGGTTTCCCGTGGCTCTCTCGCACCAAGAAGTCTCCTTGCTGTTTTAACAGCTCCTGGGCTTCTATTCTTGGAATTGCACCGTGATACCAGTCTTGTTCTGCCAACGGTTTCTCTGTGGTTGATATTACATCAAAGAACTTGGGAAAGATATTGAAGAAAAATGTTACTGTGACTGTACATTTTTAGAATTTACTTTTAAATGAAAAGCACGATAAACAACAATAATTCCTGAGTTATTTATCTAAATTAAGTATTTCTATTAACAAATTGAGACTTGCATATTACAGAAAATGGACATCAATCTTTTTTTTCCTATTATCTAAACAATTAAGTCTGTTTACATGAAAAGCATTAAGTCTATGGAAATATCCATAAAAACACATAAGAACTTTCACTTGGCTGTTTTTCTTAAGACACACTGACCAACATTGACCAGTGACTCTTTTTCACTGCTTTAGACATTCTGACATGCTATTAATAGCAATTAAAAATGAAGATTTTCTTCATATAAAGAAACTTTTGAGGAAAAAAACATTAAAAAACCCCTGAATTTAAAAAGCATTTAAATTGGATAAATTGTTTTAATACACTTTAAAAGCTCCATATAAAATCTATCAATGGAAGTGACATCTTCCCCAGAATTTACATAACAGCAGAGAATAGACATGCGGGTGTACTGCGTTCCTGAAGCTGCAATGAGTTTTGGAAGTCATAATGATTACAAGATACTATTTTCACTGATTGTAAGCAGAAAGCAATGAGTTTTAATCTACAGTTTCATATATTAATTTAAATGAGCTTAGAATTGATTAAAACATTTAGAAAAACATTATATTCAATGACATTCAGATTTGCTTGTTTTGACTAGACTGGGAAGCTTTATGCCATTTGAAATCATTAGTGTCAAGGGTCATACACATTCTCACTGCCAAGTGGAAAAGCTCTGAACAAAACAAAACACTGTGTACTGTATCAGGAGTTAAATGATATAGGGATATCTCCCATGCAAGCCTGCTGAACCGCATTTCAGATAGCAGAATAAAAGACACATCTCAGCTAAGCGTAAGTCAAACAGATAGAAACTAAACAAACTAGAAACTAAACATACAAATTTACAATCTTCTTGAGGGAATATTCAGGTCAAGATTACCTACCCAACCAAAAAGAAAATCCAAAACAAAGAAACAAAAAACCCCTAACCATGAGGAATTCTCTCAGAGGGAATGAAAAAAATAACAAAAAGGGCGTCTATTGAAAACTTCCTTTTAAATGTACGTAATTCCTGAGCACTTTCATAGTAAAGTATCTGGTATAACAAACGCCTTTGTCTGTGGGTTTCTGGCTGTCTTTGCAAGTAACACCTCAAAAGGTACAGCTTGTTAGTCCAAGAGTTTCATGGAAAACTAGAGATCCTATCTAAGAGGATGACTAGGCCTCCTCAGACATCAAAAGCAGGATCTACAACTTTGGGTGTCTCTTCTATCAAGGATTATTTCAGATATGAGATCTGACAACAAAAAGTGACAAACACACTCTTTCTAGTCATGAGTAAGGATACTCATTTACCAATTACACTTTATTAGAGACTCAAAACTAAGAAGGACTGTGAAGAAAAAATAACAGATTGAATAGAAAGATAACAGATTTTTGGAGAAAAAGGGGTACTCCAAGGTACTGTATTTATTTGCATAGAGAATTACTAAAAGCCCAGGATATTGTTTGGTCAAGAAGGCACTCATCTCAATTTCATCAAAAGTCAAACATTTCTTAGATTAGAGTTATCTCCCACGGTTAAATGACACTAAGCTATGCAGAAATCCCTAACACACACACACACACACACACACACACACACACAAAGCTTTCAAAAAGTGTTAAGAGGTTATTCACTGGAATATTTATGCATCAAAGATGCTGAGAAAAAAAAACAAAAACCGGATCTTTACTACGCTATCAAGAAACATTAAGGGGTTCAAAGTAGCAAAACCTCTGGCACATAAATACTGTTCTACTCCAAAGGAAATGCCTCTAAGGATAGAGGGACAGCTCAGGGTCAATAAACTAGTCCATACCCTTCACAAAAGAAAACTTTTTAAAAGTTGAAAAAAAAACCAAACCCTGACACTGTAATTTATTTTACAGCCTACAGAAGAGGCAGTCACCAGATAATAACACTTCCTTACGTTCAAACTGGATCAAGCATGAGTCACTGTTTAGACAAAATCATGATCACATCCCCTGAATAAAACACAGAAAAGGCTCATGAAGAAATAAGAAAACATTTTAAAAATGCTAGCTATGGTGCTGCTCATGATACTAACACCAACCTTCCTCCTAACTTTAAATTTGTTTAAAATAATGTTTATTTATATAGAAGCAAGCAACAAAAAGATTCTTTGCTGACCTCTCCCACCTTACACTGCCTAATTTTTTTATCTTACCCTGGAGGGGTACTTATAAAGAAGGTGAATTACACTATTTTCTCTGAAGAAACAAGTGGTAAATATGATTTGAATATTATTTAAATTATTTTTTTTTAATATTTTCCATATGATATGATATTCATCCTGGCCTTGGAAAAAAAAACACAGCTGAGAACACAAGAAGACCAGTACAATAATATCATCATTTTAATACTAATTAATTAAATATATATATTATAATTATAATTAATTATATATATAAATAATACTATATGTGATATTATATAATATATAATTTAAATTATAATTAAATATATATATTAATTAAAAATAAATTTACCAGTTAATGCTGTTGTCATTCTAGGCCCCAGTGTTTTACAGTGTCACTCTGTGACTAAAAAAATGTCTTGCTCACATACACATAAACACAGAGGAACTTTCAAATGCATGATTCAGTACCTTAAATGGAGAAAAATTTATTTTTTAAAGGATTTCTGTTGTTAGTTTGAATGGACAACAAAAAAAATTAACAAGATCATACAGAGGGAAAGGAAACTATATTGAAAATTTTTTCTTCTCCTTCCCAAATGCTTTTTTTTTTTTTTTTTTTTTTTTTTTTTTCTTTTTTCACTTATTCCCACAGTTCGCTCACCAATTACTTCAGCAAAGGGATACCCTCATATTTCATCACGCTTTTCATCCAGAGAGAAGAACTATTCCCTCTTATCAATCATGCTCAGGTTATTACTGCCCTCCTAACTTATTCTGAACTTCTTTCCCTCTCTATAATTAACAATCCATTGAAATAGCTGCTTTTCTCCAACAGTAAAAATTGAGCAGTCCCCAGCTACTGCTCTTACTAAAAAGAAGTGTTAGACAAAGAGTACTGTATTACTTTTAACTTCAGAAAAAGAGAAACTATTTCTGCACTTATTCTCCCAATGAAAAGAATCATAATGGAAACACTTTATTAAACAATTTACTTGAAATTTCATTTTCACATATATTCTTAAGTCTTTGTGCATTTTGTTTTCCACTCTTACACAACCCAAGATTTTACCTAGATTTTTTTAATCTCAAGTTGTAAAAAAGGCACAAAGAGAGATTAGAAAATAAAGCAATACAGTTACGTTGACACTTGCTTGTAGAATATTCTACCAGCAGACAAAGTAAATCTAGCTCAGTTCTACAAGCCAAGATATCATTGGAAGTCAACACCTACTCTGTCAAAGAAGTGAAAAAAACTTAAGTACCTATCAAAAAACTCTATAAAAGTAAAAATGTACAGACCTGAAAATTCTAAGATAAAGCCATCATAATAAAATTATCACTTGCAGTTTGTACAAAGTGATGTTTTATGACCATCATTATTAAATCTAAAAAAATCAAAAATTATTTGATGTAAGAGAAACAACATGTGTTGTTATCCTATAAACAGAAACAGCCATCTGTGCCAATATGAAATCCTTCACCGATAAAAAAAATAGACTCACTTAATCAGAATGGTAGAAGCTGATGTTTACTATGCAACTCGTTCAGACTCTTTATTCTGTTAATACATAGCCAGAGTTACTGGTGCAGAAAAGCTGGCTCGTCTCTCATGTTTCCTCTCATCATTTGATCAAACTAATTATACGGTATACCTTTCCATTCTCAGAACCCGTAAATCATTTAGGTGTCAACTCATAAACAACAGTTTAACTCTCGGCTGCTTGAGGAAATTCTAGGCTTCTCCACAGCTTTGCTCAGAGGAAACAAAAAAGTCCTTATTTTTCTTCAATTAACCACAATACTTAACTTCTAGTAACCAACTGAAAACGGGACAGCATTTTTCTCTGCATTCAAACCAAAATACAGTTTCACAGTATGCAACAGTATGATAGTGTTCACTGATCAGGCAGAACAGTGTTTCTAATATTACAATTCTTCTCCATGTAGATGGGAATCTTACTTAAGTTGACAAACCAAGAGAATGTACTGCAACACTAAATTATCACTTACTGATGATGAGCCCAACATGGATTTTGGAGACCTTATAATTCCAGCTATGGAGTGACGTATAGTATCAAATCTTGAGACTTTGTCCTTCTTGTCCTAGGAAGAAAAGTAAAATTTCCAGTGAAACCAATCAATAGAAGTTTACCTCTAAGTATTAGTAACTGAAGTATGGAGAACATGGCACCTAGAATCATGGATTAAGAGCGAGACTGAGGTTCTATAAATACAAACCAGTAAGACTATGTCAACATCAGTGGGATTAAACTAATACATATAAATTTAAAAGGTCACAGACTTGTAGTTCCTTAAATATCACAGAATCACAGAATTGTAGGGGCTGGAAGGGACCTCCAGAGATGATCGAGTCCAACCCCCAGCCAAAGCAGGTTCCCTACACCAGGTTGCACAGGTCGGCATCCAGGCAGGTCTTGAACATCTCCAGAGAAGGAGACTCCACCACCTCCCTGGGCAGCCTGTTCCAGTGCTCCGTCACCTCACTGTAAAGAAGTTCTTGCTCACATTTGTGCAGAACTTCCTGTGCTGCAGTTTCTGGCCGTTTCCCCTTGTCCCATCTCCACTCACCACTGAAAAGAGTCCGGCCTCGCCATTCTGCCCCCCACACCTTAGATATGCATGGAGCTGGATCAGGTCCCCTCTCAGTCTTCTTTTCTCAAGGCTGAACAGACCCAGTTCACTCAGCCTTTCTTCATAGCAGAGATGCTCCAGGCCCTTCACCATCTTTGTGGCCCTCTGCTGGACTCTTTCCAAGAGATCCCTGTCTTTTTTGTACTGGGGAGCCCAGAACTGGATGCAGTACTCCAGATGAGGCTCCAGATGAGGATCACCTCCCTCGACCTGCTGGACACGCTCTTTTTAATGCACCCCAGGATACCATTGGCCCTCTTGGCCACAAGGGCACACTGCTTGCTCATGGCCAACCTGTTGTCCACCAGGACACCCAGGTCCCTCCCTGCAGAGATCCCCTCCAGCAGGTCATCCCCCAACCTGTACTGGTGCATGGAATTATTCCTCCCCAGATGCAAGACTCCACATTTGCTTTTGTTAAACCTCATCCGGTTTTTTTTTGCCCAGCTCTCCAGCCTGTCCAGGTCTTGCTGAATGGCAGCACAGCCTTCAGGCGTGTCAGCCAATCCTCCCAACTTCGTATCATCAGCAAACTTGCTGAGGGTGGCCACTATCCCCTCATCAAGGTCATTGATGAAGATGTTGAACAAGACTGGACCCAGCACATTTTTTTATTTTAATTCTAATTGCATGGGTCTTCCTTCTTGCCTTTTTTGAAGACCAGGGTGACGTTGGCTATCTTCCAGATATTCTTCTGGAATCTTGTGCCATTATTTTAAATATCACTATTGTAAACTATAAAGAGAATTCTTTTGTACCCTAAAATAGAGCATTTAATTCCCAGTTCTCCTGAAATACTTTTTTTCCAAAAAATATTGGTTTGATACAATAAAAAAGAAAACCCACATAATAGAATTCAAAAAACTACACTTTACTCTTACCTCATGTATGTGATGTACGTGCAGTTATTTCCTTTTTAATTAATGTGTTCTTTGCTAACAATAAACTGCAAATATTAATATTTGCAAAATTAATCAGTTTGAAAGCCAATTTCTGGCACTGCAAAACCATAAGAAACCACTGCCTAAGTTTTTAATTCTGAATAAAGAGTCTTGCTAGTGCTACAAGGACAACTGCTTCAAAGTTCTGAATGTAGAATCATAGAATCAACTCCGGTTGGAAAAGACCTTCAAGAACATCAAGTCTAATTATGACCTAACCACACTACCGTAACTCTTAATGACCTACCGCTAAATCATGTCCCCGAGCACCACATCCAAATGGTTTTTAAACACATTCAGAGATGGTGACTCAACCACCTCCCTGAGGAGCCTATTCCAGTGCTTGACAACCCTTTCTGTAAAGAAGTTATTCCTAATATCCAACCTAAACTTACCCTGGCACAATTTGAGGCCATTTCCCTTCATCCTGTCACCAGTGACAAGAGACCAACCCCACTCTCCTGGTAAGCTCCTTTCAGATTTTGGAAGAGAGCAATAACGTCTCCCCTCAGCCTCCTTTTTCCCCACATTTAACAGCCCCAGTTCCTTCAGTCTCTCCTCATAGGCCATATTCTCCAAGCCCTCCACAAGCCTTGCTGCCCTTCTTTGGACCTGCTCCAGCACCTCAATGTCCTTGCTGTATTGAGATGCCTAAAACTGAGCACAGTACTTGAGGTGAGGCCTCACCAGTGCCAAGTACAGGGGCAGTATAACTTCCCTAGTCCTGCTCACCACACCACTCCTGACACAAGCCAGGATGCCACTGGCCTTCTTGGCCACCTGGGCATGCTGCTGGCTCGTATTCAGCTGACTGTCCATCAGAACACCAAGGTCCCTTTCCGTCAGGCAGCTTTCCAGCTGCTCCTCCCCAGGCCTGTAGGGCTGCCTGGGGTTGCTGTGACCGAAATGTACAATCCTCAACCGGGGTTGTTGTGACCAGTGTACATCCTCAACTAAAAAAACTGCAAGTATTACATTAATAGATTTTCATTTTTAGTTTATTCTGCGACTTCTGAATGGGCACCAAAATCTATTAACCTCATACTGAATATACCTAAACTACAATCACTGTCAAATGGAATTTAGTTCACAGAAGATAATTTAAGCAATGTTTTAATAAAAGAAGTTTTAAAAAGAATTGTCTACACAAAAAAAATTTCATTAACAGGATGCAGTCTAATTCTGTTTGCATGCTTGCTAAATGTTGGATGATCAACTTTTTTCACACATCAGTTCAGAATTGAACCAGCAGATTTAACTGTAATTTAGATATTCACTTCTAAGATGACAGGAAAAAAGTTACTAAATATGGGAGAATTCCCCTAAACAAACTCAGTTTTCCTTCTGTTTTACACTAACAATTTCCATTCAACTAATAAGGGCCTACAATCACCCGTCTTTCCTTATCAAAAAGGGCTTTTAAACAAGGTTTAAACAAGCTCTCTCCCATCTCTTTTTAACCTGTACTTATTAGTTAAGTTCACCAGGGGAAGGTCATGCTTAACCATTCTGGTAGTCTTCTATGATGGAGAGATAGCATTGCTGGAAAAGGGAAAGGCAACCGATGTCATTTAGCTGGACTTGAGCAAGGCCTTTGACATGGTCCCCCACCACATCCTTATCTCCAAATTGAAGGGATGTGGATTTGATGGGTGGACACTCATAGATAAGAAACTGGTTGAAAGGCCACAGACAAAGGGTGGTGATCAATGGCTCTCTGTCCAGGTGGAGGCTGGGAACGAGAGGCATCCCCCAAGGGTCTGTCTTTGGGACCGGTGCTCTTTAACATCTTTATCAATGACAGAATTGAGTGCACCCTCAGCAAGTTTGCTGATGACACCAAGCTGAGTGGTGCAATTGACTCTGTGGAAGGGGCCTGAGTGAAACTAGTGAGGTTCAACATAGCAAAGTACAAGGTTTTGCACTTGGGATGGAGGAGTCCAAGGCATTTATACAGACTGGAAGGAGCAGCCCTTGAGAGCAGTCCTGCAGAGAAGCAACTGGAGGACCTGATGGATGAAAACTTAACATGAGCCAGCAGTATGGTCTTGCAGCTCGGAAAGCAAAGGGCATCCTGGGCTTCACCAGAAGAGGAGCAGCCAGCAGGGACAGGGAGGTGATTGTTCTCTTGTGAGGCCTCATCTGGGTTACTGCATTCTGGTCTGGAGCCCCCAGTACAAAAAAGACAGGCAGCTGTTGGAGAGGAGAGCCACAGAGATGATCAGGGGACTGGAGCACCTCTCTACAAAGACAGGCTGAGGGAGCTGGGCTTGTTTAGCCTGGAGAAGAGAAGGCTGAGGAGTGACCTCACTGCAGCCTTTCAGTACCTAAAGGGAGCCTACAAACAAGAGGGGAGTCAAACCTTCACAAGGGTAGATAATAGCAGGACAAGGGGAAATGGTTATAAGTTGAGGGAGGGAAGATTTAGGTTGGCTGTCAGGGGGAAGTTCTTTACAGAGAGAGTAGTGAGGCAACAGGCTGCCCAGAGAGGTTGTGGATGCCCCATCCCTGGAGGTGTTCAGGGCCAGATTGCATGGGGCCCTGGGCAGCCTGGTCTAGTATTAAATGTGGAGGCTGGTGGCCCTGCAGGTGGCAGAGGAGTTGGAGATTCATCATCCTTGAGGTTCCTTCCAACCTGGGCCATTCTGTGATTAAGTCAAAGTGGTATGTTAAGCCTGGTTTCTGAGTAAAATGTTAACAGAGCTGTTTTTCAGTCATCTTTAACACAGCCACAATAGATTTTGAATCTCTTGGCCAAGGCCCTCAGAATTCAGTAAACAATTTAATAGGCAAAAGGATTATTTCAGGATATTAAGTTCCTTAAAAAAACTGAAGGAAACCCAACAGGGAGCACAGACTCCCTGAAACAAAATTCATTTTGTTTCAACAGAACTCATTCCAGAATTAACACCAGGTAACTGACCAACCAGCACAACCACGCTGTCTATGCCATATGTCCCAGATACACTCACAACACACATCACACCACTATTTCACTAATAAACTTGAGAAGGACACTGGGAAGAAATTAAGAATTCAGCAACAGGGATTGTTATAAAGAGCCGTGAGCCCTATGGAACAGCATGCTTGCTAACTTACACAATTGCAGCTACTAAGAAGTATTAACTGATTCAGTTTCCCTTTAGCTGGAATTAATTACTTTCTGAGATACAAGCAAAATGGTAGCATATTTGTTTTTTCCTTTATTTTACACTAGACCAGCTTTATTAAAAAGAAAACTAATCCCTGGGCTATAATAATTTATGCAAAGACTGAATTACTGCAGAATTATACTTTGCCATTATATACACATTAAAATAAACACTGTCTGTACAGAACACTTATTTCTTCAACAGAACTTTCATTCTTTAAATGAACCTATGGCATAAGAGCAAATGAAAGAATAAATAAAGAAAAACACACTGGCTAATACTTTCTTTATTGAACTAGCCACACTTCTAACTTTCCAGGAAGAATTAATACCACCAGACTTGGGACTGACACTTAGAG